TATATGTACACAATTGTGGGTAGGTTGATCTTTCGATTTGATCATTCTCGCTAAACGCGCTCGCTTCATATGCGCTCGTCTAGTTGGTTGTTAGTGTTTTTGCGCGATTTATGTTTTGTTGGCTCTTTGATTTGCCATTACGTTTGCGTTCGCAATTTTCACGCTCCTCTTTCTATGCTCGCCCTGGTTTTAGATGTTGCGTTGTTCTTCCTTTTCTTTTAAGCTTTTCATTTGCATTCGATTAAAAATTTATATATTCACTATTCGTTTTCATTGTTCGCAATAGATTTTGTAGTATTTGAATAGTGTTTTACGCAAATGAAGACACTGGTCGAGTGGCTAGTTGATTTTTGCTTGGTTGGTTGGCATTTACGTTGCTATTTACATACATACATATCAGGGATTTTGCGAATATTTGCATTCGCATTCATAATGCGAATGAATCGCATCATTTTGCACATTCGCATTCGCATCAAATGGTACGAATGTTCTGCGAATGCGAATGTGTACATGGGCAGAGTGTCCACTCTAATATTGTTTTTGTTGTTGTAGCCAGAGTGCGGACAATAACCGGCTTTTAGCTTCAGGCGCTAGTAGGTATATGAAGCAACACTGATGGGCCTTCAACATAAATAATTTTAGATTCATCCAGCGAAAGCGAAGGCTCGGATGTAAAATCTGAATTAAAGCTCAATTGAAGGCCTATCTTAAAGAAAAACGAGCTCATCTCGGTGAAAATTCTCTCGTTTGGTGGGAAACTAAACTAAAATACGACAAATTGACAGATCTGGCCCGCAAATATTTGAGCGCTACAAAATTTTTAAGTAATAAAAACGATGACTTAAATTGATTATAGCTTTTGTAATGCTATTACTAATATTCGCACATTCGCATTCTGAAAATTCGCATTCGCACATTCGCAAATATGAAAAATATGACATTCGAAGCATCCCTAATACATATATAAGTTCTTTTTTTACAATTGTGAATTTGATCGATCATTTAGTTTTCGAATAGCTCGCAAGAAATCAATCATTGATACTCAGTGACTAGGTACTTGAGCGCTGATTGAGCATGATCGGAATAAATATCACATATCATACATACTATGTATACGTAGGTATGAATATGTTGTTATATAAGTAGATATGTATGTGTGCATGTCGGGGTAGGTACATGGTTAATTTGCGATAGGTCACGCAGATCACCGATCTTCTCTATTAAAAGTAAGGTTAATTTAAGTTAGGTGACGTCGCAACATTGACTAAGGCTAGGCTGGATTTTGTTATTGTTATTATTATTGTAGGGTATAAAGCATTGCGACCTTAACATCTCTTATACCCCTTCGTGGATATCTAATCTGCCGCCGTTTAATGTTCACTCCAATCCCTCTTCGATTTGCGCATCAGTTTTGGACACCTTTCCAAGATAGGTATGCATCCTGTGCAGTTTCGATATCCGTCCTGCAAAATCTGCATCGCTCCTGCGAGTAGACACCAGAGCAGCAGATGGTGAGATGAGTAAGGTTCATCGATAATATGCAGTGACCAGTTAACCACCACCAGCGGTCGGTGTAACTTGCTTTCTGTGTAGACCTCCCTGGACAGCCTTCGATCTACTCGTGCCTGGAAGGATTTAATCACCTTCCATTCCAATTCCTTCGCCCAGCGCAGGCTTAGCTGATCAAACGCCCATTTGGCCAGTAGTAGACCACATAAGGTCAGCGGAATACCCAGACTTTCTCTATCCGGGAGCACTTCCTCAAGGGTTACCTCTTATGCCAGCTCATCGGCCATGCAGTTTTCAGCGACTTCGCTGTGACTCAGAACCCAAACAAGCTTCGTACCTTAATACGATGCGGTCGATAAGGGGATGAAAAAATTATTACCCTTTCTCGAACGAGCAAAGAGCCTTGATAGCTGCTTTGCTGTCGGAATAGATATTCAACTCCTCGAAAGGTGCCCTACTAAAGAGCAACCAATCCAAAGCTTCCTGTACTGCGGCTACAACTGCTTGGGAAACACTGCAGTGATCCGATAGCCTACATTTTATAGGTTGATGGGAGAAGACGCCGCCACCTACTTTCCCATTCAGCTTCGGTCCAGGACCCCGATTCTAGACACCGCACCCCTTCTAGTCCTCACTCGCTGAAGTATGGGAGGTGAAAGATTTCTTCGCACCCGAAATCGGCGTGCAGTTCTCCACATACGGGACTAAATGGTTGCTATGGTTACTAGTAACCTATGTGTAAATGAATTTTTTCTACCGCGTTTTTTTTTGTCGAGTTCAGGTATCTAACCGAGCATAAGTTCAAACAGTATTTCGAGAAACACTCCCCTTGTTCAAGAGATGGACATACTTAAAAAAAATGTTTAACCCAGAGTTAGCAGTCCACCAGTATCGATATCAGGGATTCGCTTAAATTAAGAAGCCTTTTTACCGACTCTTTTGAAAATTATAATCGGTCACTTAAAATTAGAATGTTTCGGGCTTTAAATTTTACTGCAATATAAAAAGACCTTAAAGTTATAACCAAATCCTTTCAGTTGAATGGTTTTACGTCATTCCATCATATATTTAAAAAACAAAGCTGTTTCTTCAAAAGTTCCCTATAAAATTATATTTGCTATGAAGGAGGTGATTAGTGTAGGAAAGTCTACGTCAGAGTTAGCATGGGGTAAACTTTCTGACCATCTCAATAGCCTTGGCATTTTAATAGCTTTAACAAGAGAATAGCCACACATTTAAAAACAATACGCTGTTTTGAGAACTGCGCCCCTTCATACGCTCCGAAGAGAGTTAAAGCTTCTTTGGGCATTCCATCTCAATCCAACTTATTTATGTTAGTCTGGATATTTCAGAAATATTGATCTTATTCTGCAATTAGGTTCCCGCGATTCATCAACTCCCCCTTTGTATCTCCATAAAACTAAGTATGTCTATATGTACGTATTTACGTGACGTAGTTTCTCTACGTAAGCAAATGGTTTTCGTTTTCAACAAACACATTGATTCTTACTTCGTCATATTCGTTTATCTCTCGGTTGATGTGCTTTTCATTTTCATTGTTTGTTTCTTTTTTTCTTTTTATTTCTTTTATATTTTTTTTTTTTTGTACATAGTATAACTTGTGTCGTTCTTTCTTTATTCGTCGCTACGCGCACTCTTATCGCTTATTCAGCGGCTGTCATGTCATTGCTATTGCTGTCAATGTTGCTAGTTCTAGCAGTTGTTCGCTATTCATGTTTTGTTGTATTGTGTTGTCATCTATGTTAAACTCGTTCGCGGTATTCGTAATTGCTGTTGTCTATTGGCCACCACCAGCACCACCAATTACTGCTTTGTTGTGTTTGGGGCGACCGACTCTACGTTGGTCGTTGTTGTCGTCGTCGTCGTCGTCGACATTTTCCTCAGTCGTGGCCACATACATACTTCGCGGCGTCGTAAACTTTGTCGTATCTGTCAACGTTCATTGTTGGCATGCTCACCGTCGACTTCGCGTCTTCAATTCTTGCGAACTTTGAGGAGCGCATATTTTTTTCTCAGTCGCACTATAAAAGGTTGTCACGGCGAACGTTCTGTGAGTGGTTACTGAAAATGATGGTTCTTTAGCTTTTTTCGAATTAAGTTTTTATTTATACTCGTAAATTCAATCGTTCTGTGAAAATTTATTCTTCTCTTTTGCGTGATTTGATGATCGCGACGTAGGCAAGTTCGAGAACTGGCAAGCTCCAGCACAAAAAAAAAATTATTAAGAATCAAAGTTTATGAATTTTGCATTATTAATGAAGTATATATATAAGTTTACTGAGAACGCGTAAATGTGCCCTCAGTGCGAATTCAAAAATCAATTCTACGTTGACAAAGATCACACAGCGCGATCGCTTGGAGCTGATCGTGCGTATGATTTCACAAAGCAAAAAAAAGTGCAACGCAATAAATGAAAAAAAAACGCGCACACAACACAATCTGAATCGCTGAGCGACGATCATCTGTTGCTTTTTCACAGGCAATCATAAATACACAACAAAAAAAGGTTATCAAGAGGCAAGTGATCGTCGTGGTCGCCGTCATGATCGTCATCCCCGACACACTGACGCCAACGTACAAGTCAAGTGGTGATTTAAATTGCACAGTGTGAAGAATATACTGAACAAAAAAAAAAACGAGAGGGGAAAGAACAAGCACTGAAGCGGCAGCAGTAGCTACAAAAACATCTACCGGCTGAGCCAGCTTTATTGGAGACACACAACAGTCATTTAGTGCCCAGTCAGTGCACCCCTTGCCTCTCGGTGCCTGCTGTCAGTTCGTCCGTCCGCCCGTACGTCTGCTTGCGCTGTCGCGTTCAATTAAAACTCTCCAGCTCCCGACTATGTACTCGTACTATCTTTCGATTTGTCTGCTATACGGTCAAATATAAATTGTTGTTTGGCTCTGCCGGCTCTGGGTTATTGTCTCCACTGTCCGTTGGTGCCGTTGGTGCCGTTGGTTGGGGCCCACACGTTTACTCACTCACTCACTCACTCACTCACTCACCCAACGACTCGCAAACCACAGACACTAAAGCCAGACTCGTCGCTTAGTTATGGGCGTCGTTGTTGTTGTACACTTTAATTTTTTTTCTTCTATTTTTTGGTGTTTTTTTTTTGAATTTTCTGCTTTATACTTTACTGTGTACAAGCTGTGTTATTCTTCCTCTTATTACACATACGTATGTTGTTATTGTTATCATTGCCGCCAACGACGGACGGACGCACTATTAACCAATGGTTTAGTATGTGTGGGTTGGTGGCACTGCTGTCGCTGTTGACGTCGCAGTCGCTGCTGCCGCCAGATTTCGCTACAAATGTGTGTTTGTTTGATCGCTGAAAGACAAGTTAGCGCGCAGCGCCGTCGTTAACGCTGCCGCGTTCGATCACTTCGCCGCCTGCACTGCACTGTGTGTTGTGTGAATCAAATAGAAAATATTTTAGTTTGAGCGTAACGTTGCATACGTCGAGATCGCGCGATTCCGCATTGTATTTTGAATGAGTTAAAGCAGAAGAAGAAGAAGAGGAAAAAGTAAATATTGAGTGGCATGCGGAGAACGTATTTAGCAGCGTGTGGAAAATCAATATTCGTAACTTTTGGAATTTAATTGGGAATTGCCCGTCAAAATTAAATTACACACATCCAGACAGACAAAGCTCCCAAGCATCTCCACCGCTACATTTGCGATTCCATTTTGATCGGTGGCGCAGAGAGCGTATATTTTTTCATATTTCAAAATGCCGTACGGGTTGGACGTACGCCATAACAAGTGTAGTGTTTAGTGATCGCGCGACTATATAGTATGTAGATCACTTCGGGAAATTAGTATTTTTATAAAGAAAAAATTTACTGAAATTTCTCAGCGAAAAAAAACAAGCAGAGTTTATGGATGATTAAACCAGTGAATAATTATGAGAACTTACGCGATCAATGCCATGTTGTTGTTACAAAAATTGCAATAAAAATTTTCTTTCATTAATTTTTTTTTAGTATTCATAAATCATCAGCAATTACAGCAGTGTCTTTGAAGTGCAAATTTATAGTGTGAGCATCATTGAAATAGTGTAAAAGTAAAAATAAAACTAAAAGAAAATATTGTCTGTGTTGATTGACGCGTTCGTCGAAGGTGCTGATCAGCTGGCTGGCGTGTAGTTTTTCAAATTGTAACAGCGCATTTAGTATAAAAGTGTATACTTTATTGAGCAGCGCACATTTTGTCTTCAAGTAAGAAACACCAGCCACAAACAGACAGTGTTCTGTGCCGAAAACTTCAAGTGATCGCCAAGTGATCCTCATTTCTGCGCTTGAGGCAGACAAACGTCGTTCGATACGCACTCCGCAAACACAAATACATACGAGTAAAAACAACAAAAAAAAAGTGTTAAGAATAACTGTGTCGCCGCATTTAATTGAGTTCCACGAATTCACTGTGAGAATTCTACAAAATAAAAGCCGAAACAGACAGGAAGACAAAAGAAAAAGGCAATAAGCGAATGAAAAAAAAACAACAACAAAATCAAGCATTAAGCCACTCCAGCAAAAGGTCGAGGAATACCCTGCCGACGACGACGACGACGACGGCACACACGATTTTCAAGAAGTGATCACGCACGTGCATAGACCCCTCTGGTGTGTGTGTATTCCCGCACACACTTGAGATACCAAAAAAAAACAAGTCGACTAAGCAGACGACGACGACATCAGCACTGGCGACACATTGTCCGACGTTCAAGTGCACGATCGCCGACGAACAGCCAGACGTAGCAGGCAACAGCAGCAGCGCAACGATAATTGCCTGCAGGAAGCACAGAGCAGGCGACCAAATTGCAACAACAACAGCGCCAGATAGACACACACATTTGAAGCGGCGGAAAAGTCATTAATAAACAAACGGCGTAGATAGGCCAATAAAAATAAGGTATCTAGAAGATACACACACACACAAGCGTATACCTAGATACATGTGCGCCTAGAACTCAACCAACCAAAAAAAAAAAAAACAAAGTCACAAGCTGTGCGCTAAACTACCAAGCAAGTGGCAAGCGGTAAGCGGAAGATCAGCTAGAACAGCCAGCAGCCGCAAAGAAGTGCAAAGAACCTGAAAAGGAAGCAGCGCCGCATTTAAAACAAGTTCAGCTAGTAAATAGTTGTACGACGACTACCTTTTTTTTTCTTGTTGTTGTGCTTTTATGAGGCATTCTAGTAAGCAGCGGCAACAGCATGAAAAATTCGTGGCATTAAAGGAGGCGCCAGCATACCTGCCAATGTCTGCGGATGGCTTGTCTGTCGAACGCCGTGAGGCCATAATCGCCACCGTCGTCGCCAAAGTCGCGGCAAGTTACCGTTGCACGAGACGCGCGTGAACACAACGATCGAACGTACATAGAAGAAGTTGTGACGTGTTCTGGATTAGAAGTCACGTAGTTGAGGAAGTCACAGGAACAGAGATCGTTTAGAGATCGCTCGAAAGATTGTTAGCTTAGAACGTACTTGAGAAAAAGTCACATACGTAGCTGCGGGATTCTATGCGTTTAGCATCGTAACAAAAGCAACAACATGCATCAAGGAACAGCGTAATAGATAACGATACATATGTAGATATGTATAGAAGTCAAGAGCTCTTCAAAGCGTGTATTGGAATGAAGGCGAGAAACGTACCAAAAATAAGGGATCGCGAACAGAATTAGCAACAACAAGCACTAGCAAGCAAGTGTGAGGGCAGGCAACCGCACTTGAGTACTGCGTAAGTCAATTTTAGGTTACTACTACCACTTAGGCATAAGTTATAGTAAAAGTATGTTTGTATGTTTCACTGAAAAAAAATAGGAAAATCTTGAGGAAAACTGTGTGAAAACTGGAAATAATTGTGAGCAAAGACCCGCAGACAGCCTAAGACAGACACACAGACAAGCGGAAAAGCATAGACTAACCGACAGACATCGGCACAGACACTCAAACAACAGACATGGGACGCCAAATAAACGGTCAGACTGATAAAAAATACAACACATGTGCAACAGACATAGATAATGAAAAAAAAAAAAAAAATGCATACAAACATACACACATAAAAAGTCACAACAATCAGAAATCGTATATATATTATACGTAGTAACAGCTACAAGCAGCATATAAAATTTGTCGACAAAAAGCAGTGCTCCAAAATGCCAACAAAAAAAAACATAAAAATAAATAACACAACAACAACACATAAAGCAATTAACATGCAAAGGTCATTTTAGTTAGGAAACCAATATAGCGTCATGCAGGCAGCGAGTAAGCGATGATCAGCCATGTGTATGTATACAAATTAGGGTGCTTCACAAAAAAAAAAAAATATTACGGTTTTACACCGGAACGGTTTTACACCGGAACTAATTTATTATATTTCAAGGCTACCGCCAAAATATTTCGTTAAAAATATCGACTTTTACGTGAGTTGGATCGATTTGAAAATATCTCCAAAATCTTATTATTTTGATACCTACCGTTGATAAAATTTTTAAACGTTTTTATGCAAATCTTTTATGATTAAACTCTTCTCTCATCTAAGGTTATCATTTAAGAAAAATTATTTTAAAAACTTTTATAAATAAAAAACGCGTTTTGGAGGTTTCAAATCGGTCCAGCTCACGTAAATCTTTAGCAAACTAATAAAAGTACTATTTTTTTTATAGAGAGACATGCACCCTAATGTACATGCATATATACCCCTGTGGATACATTTACATACTGTATATACCCTGTGGGAAATGCATCTAACTATAAGTTAACCTGAAGTTGATTAGAAAGGAACTGAAGGTCACTATTATCTGTATATTTTCCTTGAGGCAATCTAACTACATTTCAATGGCGATGACCGCGAAATAGTCAAGGGTGGTAAAATCTTTTTGTCTTTTTACTTATTTATTTATTTTATTTTATTACATTACATATTCGTTTGCATATTCTGCTATAGGTGGTTTCATATTCGATTTTGATTTTCCTTTTATTTGCCCTCAATTCGGAAAAAGTATTTGTGAAGTGCAGAAAGAAAGTGTATTCAAAGTAAAATTAAGAAAGTGTATTCAAAGTAAAATTTGTATGAGCAAATTTAAATGGAAACTTGTTTAAAGAATACAATGACCCGGTTAGATCGGCATTACTTTTCAACTAGTTTAAAGTTAGCATTTTTGTAGTTAACTCAAGTTATATATTCTATAGAAATCCTGCATAAAAGCTAACTACAAGTTGGTTATTTTTTTATCAATTGATAACTTTTTCCTACAGGGTATTTGCCTAGCGAGTGTTCCACACGCACATACATATGTTTGTATGTTTGCTTTTCATTTTTATTTTTTCCAATTTACTTTTATTTTATTTTTATTTTTTTTTTGTTTGATTTTTATTTACTTTGACCCACAATATGTTAAGTCATTATCTGTTCGCATACTTATTGTCGTTGATATTTTCGGTGTTGTCGCTAATGCTTTATTTTTATCGCTGCATATGCACACAAATTCGTGTAGGTTTGTATGAGGATTTTGTAAATTTTGAGGAATACCCCTCCACAGACATTCGTACGTACATATATATGTATGTACATACTTATGTATTTATGGATGTAATTAAGTGGTGTATATAGCGCTGAGTCAAGTCATTCAGGGGGTTATGAACTTATTGACATACAAACGTACTTACATACATACATACATGCATACAAACGTATCTAAAACATTCATTTCATACACAATTTTTTATTATGTGAAGTGAATTGAAATGAGGAATAAAATAGGTTGAATAAAACGTAATAAAAACGAACAAGGAATGGAATGAAATGAAATGAAAATGGGAAAAAACGACATGAAATTAAGTGAAATGAAATGAAACAAAGTTTATCCATAAGAAAAAAAGTGTGACGATATGAAAATGGAATGAAAAAAGAAATAAAACGAAACGTTAAACGAAAAGTTAAGATACGAAATGAAAATGGAATGAAAATAAAAGAAATGAAGTGAAATTAAATAATATGGAAATAAATTATACCGCCTGCGGGTAGCCCTGTGCCAAAGAGGAGTGCCTGGTGAAACCATTTCGCTTTCTTTTAGTGAATGGGTCCTCGACTGCGGACTTCTGTGGACCAGGTCCAGTTTACGTCAGCACATTGACCACGCTGACGGCATGTCTTATGGCATATCGTCCCATCTCCGACCAAACACCGGAGACTTTGAGTAATAGCACCGACCTTGGCAGCGAAGTTGCCCCCGATGGTGGCACCGACGAAGACATTGCCGCCGAATAAGTAAAGCCGAAGCGGTCTCTGGTATGATGTACACGTTATGGCGTAACGACAATTTGAGTTCAAGATTTAAGATCAGTCTTTTCAAGTCCAATGTATTATCCACACTGCAGTACGGTTGCCCAACTTGGAAAGTCAGCATTGCAAGAACCTGGGCGCCTGTAAATTTTCGTAAACCGTTGTTTTAGAATAACACCCCGAATATTTTTGGGCTAAAATAATATCAAATAACGAGTTGCTGAGAAAAGCTAACATGAAGCTCCTTGATGTCCGGCTCCGGAGACGGAAAGGGATAGGCCACACCTTGCTCAAAGAAGACGCCAAAGAGGCGAAGCTATTTGAGTTAAGCTGGTTGGAAATCAAAGCTATTTGCAGAAACCGAACCAGACGGCGCGTAGTGGATGCCCTATGTACCGCTTGCGATTAAGGGGCGAAGAAGACGGAACGGAGTGAAGAACCACGAAACGATAATGGACGAAACTATATAGCGCAAGACAAGATATAGAGCAAATTAACTAATCAATAACTCGTTTTTACTTCTGGATCGAGATGGTCATCAATCTTGACTTCAACTGCATCCTAAAAATGTGAGTCCCACCCAGAAAGCAATGCCCCAGAAACGAAGTGTCCGACAAAGAGCTCATCTCACCATTGCGATGCATCGGAGCTGGGTACTGCATTTAAAACTTCTCATATTTGCAAAGAGGCAAAGAGGTTCCGAGACCTACAAAAAGGGATTCAGACACCCATCTATGACATATTCTTCCTGAAAAACTTAATTTTACATGTATGTGGGAATGCATTTGATAGATTTGCATACATATATCTAGCCAACCTGCTATTCACTCACACATAGATATGTATGTATATAAGTCTAACTCACGTTCATTCTTTTTGGTTTAGTAATCATTCGAATTCTTTGCACTTAAGCAACCCAGACATCTGGCAGCACCTCACCTGCAACACACGCTCTTTAATTAAATATCCGATTCTTCATACATGCATACATACATACATACATGTATGATTGTATGTGCATGTGGCTGATTGCTTTGAACCAGCTGTGCCAAAATTGTTGTTGCAGTTGTTAAAAAAAAAAATAAATAAATATTTAGCATTCGCGTTCAAGCGCTGATCCGATTACTTTGCATGCCAAATGACATGATCGCAGCCACCATCTTCTGATACAAATACTTTTTTAGATGACACAAATTAATTTTGTGTTTTTGTTTTTTTTTTTTGTCATCAAAGCTCTTTTTTAATTGCGTGTTTACAAGTATTTTATCATTCGTATTTTTTTTTTTCAATCTCAACTGTGAATTGCTTTATTGTCAACGTTAAGCATTCACAGAAATATTGGTCATTTTGCTGCATATATGTATGTATGCTATTTATTTATATGAACTTTATTTTCTACTTACGTTGACTCTTGGCTATTTTCGTCACACTGTCACGCAGTGGCGAGTGTGAAATACCTGTCTGACAAGTTTAGCGCAACGAAGCGAACGTAGTCGACAACGTCGTGTAGTGAGTTAATGAGAAAGAAGTTGGCTTGGTACGGTAGCGGTGGTGGAGTTAGGGGGGGATAAACTGTTGGCGCTGCTGCCCACAGCTGACTTACACCTGAACTCAACATGATCACCGCGACGCGTCATCGCTGACTATTAACGCCGCACCGTCGATTGGATTGTTTGTTGGGGCATACAAAAATACCACACATGTATGATTTACAGGGTGTTTCAATTTCGTTTTTTTTTTCATCATGTTTTGTCTAAATTTGGTAAATATCCCAATCTATTTATAACGCATATGGTTTCGTTCTTCAGCTATAGCAGAGACCACACTTTTCATATCGATCGCAAGATCTTGGCGGCCGTTTGGCCATTGTGTTTTGTGAAATAATTTGTCCTTAGAACTTGGGTTTGCAATATGGTCCCAGACTATGTCAACTAATGGAGGCCACCAGAAATTTGCTATCCTGTCACGATAATTTTCATTTTCGAAGAAGTTTGGTCTGATGGCGTCCTAACGACCAGTACGAAGATGCACGGGTACTTCAGTCTCTTCAACCGAAAAAATCACGCAAAGCGCGAAATGCACTTCTTGCCGAATCGCCATTTTCATAATACGTTTGGATCACTTTTACGCGATGTTCAACTGAGTAACGCTCCATGACTAATTTTGCCAAAGCCTGTACTACTAATTGACTGAAAAGAACATTAAGATATCACAAATAATTGACAAATACCTGAATCACCCTTTACATATTTAAGTGTATGTATGTGCCGTGCCATGTGTAGGGGAGCTGCTCACTGGCGCTGCCAATTTATTACGCTTTGCTTGGCGCCCTTTCCCCCCCCCCCCCC